AAGGGGGAAAAAATAAGAACCAAGAGAGATTATGTAAAGGTGCAAATTTCCAATGATGAATGTCATTATATTGCATACCTAAAATGTTCCAATAAAATTAAATTAAAAAAAAATTAAACCCGTCCCAAGGATTCAATCTTTCAACAAGTTTTATGAACACAAATACCCACTGTAGCAATTTTCATAACAGTACACTTAGAGTATATATGAAAAATATATATATAAAGAAATTACATACAGGGTGAGTATCCCTTATCAAAAATGCTTGGGACTAGAAGTGATTCAGATTTTGGAAGTTTTTAGACTTTGGAATATTTGCATAGACTATGCACTGAACATCCATCCCTGGTCTGAAAATTTAAAGTCCAAACTGCTCCAAAATCCAGCAGCATGGCACTCAAAAAGTTTCTAATTTTGGATTTTGGATGTTCAGATTAGGGGTGCTCAATCTGTGTGTGCAGTGTGTATATAAATCCTTTCACGTATCAACCTGGCTGTACTGGGAGTGCAGGTTTAGGAGGAGGACATTACGCTCAGACATCATGTGGCTAGCGTGCTTCCCAAGAAAGTGAGGGACGCCACAGTCCTCGGTAGGCCTCGGACTACTTCGGATCTTCCTGGAGTATGGCCTTTACCAAACACTCTCTGTTCTGTCCTGATTCTTTCCATTCATACATGGGATACAAGAGTTCTGCTGGAAACTGAGAAGCGATACTTGAGAAAAAGTCTGTCTCCTGGAAGGGTTACATTTCACATTCCATACAGGGTTCCAAACTTTATGGGAGGAAACTCCTGTGAATCAGCTGAGACAGTGACTCTGAATTCTCTCATTTCTTGATCCTCAGCTGAATGATGCAGACATGGCGAAAACTGCAGGGCCAAGTATAGTGCTACGTGCCCGCAAGGCTGAGGCAGGTGGAGCACGGGTTCAAGCCCAGTCTGGGCAACTTAGCAAGATCTTGTCTCAAAAACAAAAGTGCTGGGGTGTAGCCTGGTGGTAGAGCATTTGGGTCACATGTGCTTCCATCCCCAGTATAGTAAAAAAGGTGCAAAACCAAATAAAAACATAAAACTTTGAAAATCAGGGATGGACAGGGACCTTCTTAACTTAATAAAGACACTGACTAACACATTATCAGCAAGTGTCATATTTAATTGTGAAATGTTAAAATCATTTTCTTAGTTGGGTGTGGTGGTGCACACCTGTAATCCCCACACTCAGGAGGCTGAGGCAGGAGAATCATTGTGATTGAGGCCAGCCTGAAGTATACAGTGAGACCCTGTTTCAAAAAAAAGCCAAAAAAAAAAAAGAAAAAAGAAAAAGAATTTTCTTTAAAATCAGGAATAACACGTAGGAACCAAATATCAACATTTCTATTCAACATTCCAGAGCAGTGATGCCAAACATTTTAGAGCTTTCAATGATACAAACAGCCCACTGTGGCATGTGTGCGATAAGTTTGCCACCACTGTTCTAGAGCATTGGTGGATGGAAAAAGAAAAAAAGTATAAAAATTAAAAGAAAGGAGCTCTAGATGTAGCTCCATAGTTGAGTGCTTATTTAGCACTAAGTGAGGCTCCAAGTTCAATTCCAATACTAACACACAAAAATTGTTCACAGGTGATGACTGTCCTTACAGACAACCAAAAGAATATGCAAAGAAATTATTATTGGAATTAACAAGAGAATTTAAGCCGGGCATGGTGGTGCACAACTGTAATCCCAGCACTTGGGATGCTGAGCCAAGAGAATCACTGTGAGTTCAAGACTACCCTGGGCTACATAATGAGACCCTGTCTCAAAAAATTTTTAAAGAAAGAGAGAATTTAACAAGATGATTGAATATAGGACAAATATATAACAATTGCATATCTACATGTCACCCCAGGGCCCTGTCAAATCAGACAATACAGAAAAGGAGAACTTTTTCTTTGGTGGTACTGGGGATCAAACCCAGGGATGTGCTATCACTGAGCTACATGGCCACCCCTTTTTATTTTTAGATAGTGTCTTGCTAAGTTGCCCAGATTGGCCTTGAACTCTTGATCATTCTGCCTCAGCCCGACGAGTACGCAGGATTACAAGCATGCACCACACACCTGGCTGGCAGTACTTTCAATAGCAAAAGATAACATATCAAGAAATGTATCTAACAAAACCTATAAGACTACATACAGAAAATTATAGAACATTACCAAAAAATAATTAGATATGACCAAAAGGAGAAATACGTCATATTCATGAAGAGGAATACTCAATGTCAAAAAGATATTAATTTGTCTTAATCTGTAAATTCAATGCAATTCTACTAAACTCTTATCAGGACTTTTCATCGTTAGATAAGCCATTTCTAAAAGTTATAAAAGGGCTGAGGTATAGCTCAGTGATGAACATTGTGCCTACCATGTGCAAGGCTCAGAGTTTGGAAAGAAGAAAGGAGGGAAGAAAGGCAGGCAGGCCAGTTGGCTGGCCAAAGACCCAAAGACATCTATATAACTGTGGTTATGCCTCACACCTAAAAGGAAGATTTATTATAATAAAGCACAGTAATCAAGACAGTTTGATTCTAAAGCTGAAGAAATGGACCAAGGAAAAAGGTGGAGAAACTCCACATATATGGAAACTTGATATTTTCCCCTGAACTATTTAATAGACACTAGGATAATTGGTTATCTACATAAATAATAAAAAATGGAGCTTTACTTAACATATGTAAAAATTTTTTTTTAACAAAGAGGTAAATGTAAAAAGCAAAACTTGAAAACTTTCAGAAGGAAATACGAGATTATATTTTATAATGTAGGTATGGAAATTTCCCAAAGGAAGAGAGAGCACAAGTCATCTAGGAAAATATAATAAATTTATCTACTTTAAAATAACACAATCTAGGGCTGGGGATTTAGCTCAGTGGTTTTGCTGCCTGCTGCGCAAGCGCAAAGACCAGAGTTCGATCCCCGGTACCAAAAAACAAAACAAACAAAAAACACAATCTATTGCTCAGTCAGTGACACACACAATAGCAGAAAAATGAGGTCTCTGAGGGGATAAGACATTTCTAACATACGTACTCAACAGAGTAATATTTAGAGTAAATAGGCAACTTGTTAAATCAATAAGAGGAGAAATAGCAGAACATAAAAAAGAATTAAAAATATAAATAGGTAATTCATAAAAGGGCAGATTCAAAGGAATAGTAAACATAAAAAATGGTCAATTAACTAAATTAAAAAGAGATATAATTTCACTCTTATCCGACTAGGAAATGTTTAAAAAAAACCTGACAGTACCAACTCACTGAGGAAGGAAATCTATAAACTGCTTTGTATTCACACAATGCATACTACCTAGCAACAAGAATGAGGGAGCTGTAGGTATCAACACTGGTGACTCAAAATTATACAGAAAAAGTTGCATTAGATGTGCTATCCAGTGTGGTACTGCTTCTAGAAAGCTTAAAAACAGAAAGCAATGCTTCTATATTACATGGAGAACTACATCATGGTGTAGTGAAACTATAAAGAGAAGTAGAAGAATGATAAACCCAAAGTCAGAGTGTGGACATTCTGGGAAGGAAAAGGGCATTGGAGATTAAATGGGACCCTTGAGCTGTATTCCTAATATTTTATTTCTTTAGCTGGTGATCGCTGAGTGGCAGTTTTGCTACGTTTTTTAACACAGATATTTTTACAGAAAAGAAAAACAGTGTAGGGAGAAGGACACTAATTTCTGCCATAGCTTTAAGGATAAGACTACTCATCTCTCCCTTATTTTTTCAATTAGATTCCTAAAGTCACTAAAGGAAGAAAAAAATTAAAAGACCATCCCAATAGGCTTTTGATGTCTTTTAAACACCAAACATACAGGCAAGAAAGAGATGCAAGGAGTTCCTGACCTAGGAATTTTGCTGTTCAAATTCTTTGTTTGTTTTTTGTGTTTTTGGTACCAGGGATTGAACTCGGGACCTTGTGCTTGCGAGGCAGGCACCAGAACCACTGAGCTAAATCCCTGGCCCCTGCTGTTCAAATTCTTATCTACAAGTTTATCTCATCTTCCACAAAGCCCTGAGAATCTAGAAATGTTGGCTGTGAATATTGGAGAGGCCAGACATGGCTTGGGAGGTTTTATAAAAATACTACACTTGAGCAAAAAAATCAACCTACTGGTTTCCAAAATGAATCCTTCAGTCATACTTCATTATCATTGCAAAGATGAGATAATTTAAAAGGGAAAAGTTTTTAAAGTAATCTCAGAGAAGAGAAGCAGCAGACAGAAAGATGACCCGAAGGAGAAAAACCCCAAGATTCTAATAACAAGTGAATTTCTGCAAAAGTCTTTCTTTTCTGCATACAAAGACTGCAAAAAGCATCAATCCTGGTATCTTAGGAGATCAGGATGTGATGTCTTTAGACAAATGACAGGAAAATCTTTTCCAGTAGAATATGAAAACTCAGCCCCAACACAGAAAGAGGCAAGCAAACACTTCCGCACTCACAGAACAGCTCAGCAATTATCCTGACCATGGCTCAGGCTTCAGTACCTTAATCAGCTCTTTTTCTTTATGGAGGTCCTCGTGAAGCCCTGGAAGAGGATTTTTACTTTGTGCTTTTAGAACTTGCAGCCTGCTTTTCAACTCCTTGATTTTCTTTTCACACTGGTTCCAGGTCTGTTTGAAAACAGATTAACATTGGTAAGGACTTGGGTCTTGGGAATGAACTGCAGAAACAGAATAGCTCATTTAATCCATGTAGTCTTTCCTGTAAATCACACAGAACCTGCTCCTTCTCTTGCACAGAGTGATCTGAGCAGCAGAGGGGACATCAGGTATGGCTCCATGTGGCTTTGCAGCTTTACCTGTGGCTCCTTTCAATCACTGGATCAGATTTGCTTGGAAAGGTCTCTTCCTCCCTCATCAGCCTAACCTTACTTCCACTTTAGTGTAGAAGTTCCCATCACAAGCCTACAGTAAGGACTAACTTTCAGCATCTGCGGTCTTAGGTAAAAGCTATGAGGTATTCTGGGGGGCAGTGCTGGTGGTTGGAAGCCACATGCGTCCAGTCACATCCAGGAAAAGCGCTCAGCTACTCTTTTGTCTTTTCTTCTGTCGCCTCTGTGCTGGCTCTCTCTCCCTTCCAGTGCCTGGGCTTAGCAACCCTTTTACCCGGAGGCTTCACTCTCCAGATCTTACCCGCTGCCCTGCCTGTCACTTCCAAGTGCACCGTGAGCTGGGTGTGGTGCTGGTAATCCCAGCACTCTGGGAGGCTCAGGCAGGAGAATCAACAAATTTCAGTCCAGCCTGGGTAACTTAGTGAGTTAGCAAGATTCCATCTCAAAATAAAAAATAAAGAAAGGATGAAGGCCCTGGGTTCAACCCTCAGCACCTCTGACCCTCAAAAGAAAGGAAAACCCCGAAACCAAAAGGTTCAGCGCATACTAACTGCCTACAGAGTACTAAAAGCCTAGGTAAATGGGCGCCATCTCCCCTCACATCTGACATCACAGAGCACACAGGTGCCTGCCTGCACTCTCAAGTTCAGGGTGTTCGTAGCTGACTCATCAGGACAACTTTATTTCTGAGGTTACTAAAAGCAGAAAGACACACAATGAAACATTCTGTTCCTCAGCACTTCTGACACCTAAACATCTCTGGGGTGGCCCACGTCTAGGGTAACACCCCACTTAAGGGGAGGCCACCTGCCTACTAATGTCAACTATCTGGAACTCAACCTAGAAAGCAGGACAGAAGCAAAACCGAGTCCTGATCTCCCACCAAACCCTTCTTTCCACTGACTGACCTGCTTTACAAACATGGCGCCTGCTCAAGCAGGTGGTGAACTTCACACAGTACATACACCAAATAAAACTCAGACAGTTTATTCACAGAATGATGCCCAGGCGCTAACTTGGCATCTGACTATCTTAATTTGGAAAAGCATGCCCAGCCAGCCTGGTTATCTATCTGTGCACACAGCAGATCAGAAAGGAGGGTGGACCCCGAGGGTACATTAGCTTGAAGAAACAAAAAGTAAAGATAGCCAGCTCCATAGTAAGAAGAGAGAAATAAAAATGAAACATATACATTATACACCAGGATGGACCAGATGCAGAATGTCGGCTTTGTGTATTAGGTTTCCATGGAATGTGAACAAGTTTCATAAAAGTAAATATATTTGTGTGTGTGTGGCGGGGGTGTGCTGGGGACTGAAGCCAGAGCCTTTGTACTGAGCTACATTCCCAGTCTTTTTTATTTTATATTTTGAGACAGGTTCTCACTAAGTTGCTAAGTTGCCCGGGAAGGACTTGAACTTGAAATCCTCCTGCCTCAGCTTCCCAGAGTGTTGGGATGACAGGACAGTGCTACCACACCTCGCTAAAAGTAAATATCTTAATAGCATCTCAAGTATTTATACACTTACAACTGTTTTTTTTTTTCAATGCTATATTAAGTAAAGGGCATGACTCATGAATCAGTTGGACTTGAGTTCTGATAGGAAACAAAAATCCTGTATACTAGATTTGAAAATCACAAAAGGAAAACTGAATGGTGCTTTACCTCCACAGTGCTCTGGAGCTGTTTAATCATCTCTCCTAACTGGAGCTTTGTTCCCTCCCACTTGTCCTGAAGCTGACTGATTCTCTGGTCAGCAGACTCTTGAGTTTCCAGGCCAGCTATGTTCAGTAACTTCTCCCCTGCTTCCAAGGCCAGTGCATAGGTGGTTTGCCGTCTCTGAAAATGGATTTCTTTATTCTGAAAAGAAAAAATAAAATGATTTGTTTAAGCCTCTGGTGTGATTAAAATGTGACTGTGTGTTTGTATTTCCTTCAGAGCCTTTCCTAAGTATATTAGACATAATTTAACCAACCTGATCATAATGTATACAAGCGCATCACTGACACCAACAGCTAATGTTTTACTTTGAGCACAGCATACTACCAAATAAGATGCTCTTAAAATAATTTCCAATGATTCCTATGAGATAAAATTTTTGGTGCAATGACTGAATGTTCAGGGAAATTAAAAAATATACTCTGTAGAAGAAAAGCCTACAAGATCTCAGAGTATTAACAAAATGATTAGTGTATCAGATCTGAAATGATCATTTATACTGGTTATCACCATGGTAACCCAGAAGAAAAGAATATGCACATTATGCTAAATAAAATGAAAGAGGAGAGAGCAAATTAAAAAAAGATAAAATACAGCTGGGTCTGGGGGGAACATTTTAGACCTAAACATAACAGATGGTGACTGTTAGGGATTAGATCTAAAATGTTCCCCCAAAGCCTCATGCGTTTGGAAGGTGACAGGACCATGGAGCCCCCATCCTCCCAAGTGGATTTGTCCATTGCTGAGTTTGGAGCTGTTAGGAGGTGGGGCCTGGTTGGAGGTGGTCACCGGAAGGGTATGTTCTTGTCCTTGGTTCCTCCCTTTTATCTCTGCTTTCTGGCTGCCATGGGTTGGGCACCTTTTCCTCTGCCATCCTGTTTCTGCCTCAGAGCCTGATGATTATGGACTGAAACCCTGAACCAAAACAAACCTCCTCTCCTCTAAGCTGCAGATGTCAAGTATTGTGTCTCAGCAACAGGAACGTGACCAAGACAGGGACTTTGGGCAAGACATTCTCTCTGCCTGAAAGTCTCTTTCCTCAGATCCTTGCCTGGCTGGCTCTCTCTGATCATTCAGGTCCCAATTTAAATGCCACAATCTCAGAGATTACCTGAGGCAGTGATGACGAACCTCTTAGACACTGAGTGCCCAAACTACAACCCAAACCCATTTATTTACTGGAAAGTGCCAACAGTGCAGTTAAATCTGAATATATCTGATGAGTGGCTGCTGGGGCGACTTGGCTCTTGTCTGACAGAGAGGGCTCTGTGTGCTGGCTGCTGCACACATGTCATAGGTTCGCCACCACCGACCTAAGCTAAAGCAGCCTATTCCCCTCCATTCCTGACCCTGTTTGAATTATACGCATAAGTCTGATTGCAATCTGATACTTTGTTACTTTGCCTAGTTGCCTGGAGAGCAGGATTTTCTCCTAGTCCACACAGTGTGCCCAGCATTTAGAATGGTGACTACCACAGAGCAGGCATTTAATTAATACCTGATGGCTGGATAAATGAACGCGCACAGCCCCACAGTATTTGGTTTAGCCACTTCTCTGAAGTGGAAAGTGGTCCTAAGGCCCAGCAGAACACGCCACCTACTTACTCCACTTCAGACCTCTTCCCTCCCCTCCCACCTTCACTGCATGCATCCTCCACAGCCCAACGAGCCTTGCTCTTCTAGTGGAGAGTCTGATCCCACAGCCCAGGGACCTTTCCACTGCACAGAGCATCCTTGCACTGTGACATCACAGGGAACACAAACCCTAACCGCAGTGGCCCCACGCTGCCACTGTGCATGCCCTACCTTCAGCGCGTGGATCAGACTCCTGATCTGGTGGAGGCTGCAGTGAGCCTGGCCCTTCACCGCAGACAGGAGGAGGTCGGTGTCAGCGAGGAAGCGGAGCAGGTCCTCTGCCGAGGTGGAGGACTGGTGCTGCCGCACCAGCTCAGCAACCTCATGTCTCCTCTGCTGAATGCCCCGGGCAGCACTCTGCCACCGGTCCACTAGCCTGGGGAATTCTGAGATGAATTCTGGTCTGAGAAAAACAGATGCTTAGAGAAGCCTGGCGTGAACATGCAGAAAAAAATACTATCAGTAAGGAACAATGGCCCAAATTTGCTATTCTTATGTACAATTTATATGAACCACACAAGCCACTCCTTAACATCTGAGCTGCTAAGGGTGCTCTGGGAGGCACAGCACTTTGTCGGCATACACGACATCATTCCCCTCAACAAACTCAGCTGCTTTAACACACATCACGCCAATGCTGCGTGGAAATCTAAAGTGGACCAATGAGACACAGACAGACAGGCTGGACTTCCGATGCCACTGACCACTGCAGGGTGTACGTCACATGACTTTAACCACACGGAGCGTGCTTTATTTTAACTATTCAACTAGTTCTTTCCAGGTAAATAATACTTTTCACATGAGAAGTAAGGCTTTTCATTTATTTTGGGAAAGGCATGCTTTGTCATGCTGATCAGATCAAAACTAGCTTGTCCTGGGGCCAGGGATTTAGCTCAGTGGTTACACCACTTGCCTTGCAAGCGCAAGGTCCCAAGTTCAATCCTTGGTACCGAAAAAACCAAACAAACAAAAAACTAGCTTGTTCTCCTGGAACTGGCTTAAACGTATTACTCAGGAGCTGGGAAGAATGGGCTTTATATTAGTTATTGTGGAAGAAGATTCAGGGATATATGAATGCTTAGAGGCAAAAGTATTTAAGCAGACAGGCCAGCTCAGGGCTGTCAACACAAGCGTCAGGTGCATGGGTGGCTCTATTAATGGCCAACAGGTTGGCCGCCGTGTGACCCTGCTCCATGTGGCCAGCACTGTCCACTGCCCCAGCCCCATCATGCAGCTGGAGAGAGATCCCTTGTTTCACAACTGTGACATGGCTTCCTGCTTGGAACAGCAGCACTTTGAAACTTATTTTTAAATAATAAGACACCATGAGGGTGAGGACAGAGAGGAAAACATCCTGAGTCATTCTGGCTATTTTCCAAAGCTTCTGCACTGTGACTGCATGTGCATAGCCTAGGGAAAAGTTCCATCAGTGTATTTAAAGCAACAGAGCGAAGAATCTATCCTGATGCACAGGCAGAAAACCGGCCATGGAATCTATCAGCTAATGTGCTGCAGGGCACAGGTGTGGTCCCAGTTCATAGGTGGACAGGGGCATGGAAGGACTAAGTTCTAGTGGCTTTTGGCACAGTGTGGGGATCATGCTCCCAATGTACTAGCATATATTTTATGGAGAATGGCGAGAGGAGTCTGAAAGCTGCAAACAGAAAGGAATAAGGAGATGGAAAGGCTAATTACCTTGATTTGATTAGTGCATGTTGTATTTATTTATTTATTATTGTTTTTTGGTACCAGAGATCAAACTCGGGACCTTGTGCTTTCGAGGCAGGCAGCTGCACCACTGAGCTAAATTGCCGGCCCATATATTTATTGATCTATCACACTGTACCCCATAAATATGTACAAAACAAAGAAATAAAAAGACCCGTCAAGTCTGCCCTGACCTGAATTCATTTCTCAAGTCCCAGATGGCTTACCTCCTCTCTATTTCAGCTGTGTCCAGGAGTTGTAAGGACTGAGTGACATAAGAGTCAGCAATCGTCTGGTTTATAGAAACTTCAGCTTCTAACATCTGAGTATTAGTCAAAATATAAAACATCAGTGAGTAGAATTCAAGTCTATGAATCTGGAACTTATATCTCTTATTAAAATCTAAGCTCTTGGAGGATATAGAGATGATTTATTTTTAAATTATTAGAGCCCCATTGCAGGGGAAAAAAAGTTCAACCATCACCTCAACATCACCTATGAACATACTCTTGAAAGCAAACAGATCTAATTAGAACTATGCCTACATGCCTATTTTCATTGGATGATCTTAATTGAGCGATGATTTATATCAGTTACATTTACAAGTTACAGTGAACTAATGCCTACTTCTGAAATGCAGAATCTGCCTATAACCATTAAGAGTATTTTGATTCCTTTTTTCTTTTTTATAGTATGAAGATTGAACCCAGGGTCTCTGCACTCAGCTACACCCCCAATCCTTTTAAAATTTTAATTTTTTTTCTTTTAAATTTTGAAAGCAGGTCTTGTTAATTTGCTGAGTTGCTCTGGCTGGGCTAGGACTTGGAATCCTTCTGTCTCAGCCTCCCAGAGTGCTGGGATTATAGGTGTGCACTGCCACACCTGGCCACTAGGAGTAATATGAATATATACCAGCAAAAGTGTGGTAGAAACTCCTCTGTAAATCATTTAAGGCTGCACTTATCACTCTACCTGAGATAGACTACAGAGACTGAATCGGTGAAAAGGCAAACATGAGCTAAGGTAGTTTAACAGTCTCTTGGCAGCATGGTCTAATGTTTGCTTTCTGTAGAAGCAATGTTGTGCTAGACGCTTCCATGTACTGCAGAACCTATGAGTGCCATTACTAACAGAGCAGAACAAAATGTTAAAACTTACAATTGTGCGAGTATTTAAAAACTGATCAACTGAGAACTGGATCTGCTTAAACACACACATTCTGCAGTTAGAGAGGGTCAGGTGCTCCATGTTTTTTTATTTAAATACGATGTTCCCTGACTCCAGCCCCAAGGTGAGGGGCTCCAGGTGAAACCGAGCACAGGTTTACCTCATACGTTTTCTGCTGCTCCCGGAGAGCCAGAAGGCTGTCGGCAATCTTCACTCCAAGCGCCTCTTCTAGCCTCTCCAAGAGGTGGACCCACTTTTCACAATAACGAAGAAATTGCTCATTGAGTCCGATTCCCTGAAGCTCACTATGAAGGTTTAAAAACAAAACAGAGCCATGGAATAAAGACACTGCAGAGCCTGAGTGGCTCGTTTGGCCTCAGCTGAAGCCACAGCAGAGAGGGATTCGCACACCTGCAGCGGTCCAGCGCCTTGGCCATGGCCCGTGTCCACTGCCGGTTCATGTCCTGTAAGGTCTTCATGGCCACGTCACTGAGGGGGAGCCTGAGGCTGACTTCATTCAGACGTTCAATGTCCGGTGACAGGGCTGCCAGTGCCAGCACGTGATTCTATTCAAAAATAAATAAATGAATAAAAATCCAGGATTTTGGATGCTAGGAAGATACCCACATGATGAAAGCGCCTCTTCACCTCAAGGATGAGGGGAAACTGGGGTCTGAACAGGTAAATGACTTGCCTGCCAGGAACGAGCCAGCACTAGAACTGGGCCTGATCTCGGCTCTCAAGGCTGAGTCTGACCCAGGATAGCAGGCTGCTCACCTGCAGCACCAACACAGTCTAGGAAGCAGGAAGGGATTGAAGACTTGACAAGATTAAATATAGGCTTAAAGAAAAAAACCAATAGGGCCAGGAATGTAGCTCAGTGGCACCGTGCCTGCCTGGTAGGCTCAAGGTCCTGAGTTCAATTCCTAGTTCCTCAAAAAAAAAAAAAAAAAGATCAATATTAGACCTGTAAGTCTTATATAGTCTGTCAATAACTTGACCTTCCATAGTTTGTATGGCCTGTTTGTAGATCAAATAAAAATTTGATCCTTAATGTAACTCTAATAAAAGATGGTACTTAAACTATAAGAAAACATTCTAGCCATATTTTGGTAGAATGTGAAATCACAAGAAAGCAAAAACATCAAAATTTTATTTTTAAAAGATATTCCAGGGAAGCCTCAAGGTCAACGATATGTTAAACAAACATCTTTTGCAATGTCGACATTATCGCTATATAACTCTGCTGTCATAGTCTTAGGTCAGGGTCAGTAAACAGCTCCTGTAGAAGGCCAGGTCATAAATATTTTAGGCTTTTTTGGGCCATATGGTCTCAGTAGCAATGATTCACCTCAGCCCTTGAAGCAAGAAAACTCTCAGGAGAATGTGTAAATGGAAGGACATGGCTGGGTTGGAATAAAACTATTTCCAGTAACAGCAGGTGAACTTGGATTTGGATAACATGCAATAACTTGCTGACTCCTGATCTAGATTACGATTATCAATTCTTGGAGGAATTGCAAATGGTAGAATTCTTAAATTCGCTCATCTGTTTATGTTACATGGAACTTATGAAGGTAATAAAAAGGGGAAAATCATGATTTTAATGAAAATATTTTATACTTCATCTTCAACTAACCAGATTCAATTAATCACAAGAGCCAATCCCTGGATTAGTCTGGTTCACTGAAGTTAATCAGTAATGACCTCAAGATTTAAAGATCTACAAGTTACTATGACATATTACTAAAATAGATCCCTAGGTTTTACTTTTCTAGACCTTAGAAGAATTTATTCAACAGTTAATTAGGATGCAAACAGATTCGACAGTGCAACAGTAGTTAGCTTATTTTTAATCTATGCTGAGTCTAAGTCCTTCGGAAAGACAAATATTGCCAATACCAGGAATGAGTCAGGATTTTCTTCTTTTTCTAGCTGGTAAATTTTATCCAAATTTTCTTCCTCGTGTATAATAAGATCCTGTAAAGATTCCAGCTGCTCTCCAAACTCCTTAAACTGTGAAAGAATAAGCTAGAAAGAGACACATTCTCATTAGAAACAATTTTCATGAGCACATATGACAAACAGCCTTGGGTGCCGGTAAGAATTCAACCCACAACAGTTTGTTACTATCTCAAAAATTCAGACACAATTATTTGAAGACCCAAGTTTCCCCACTGTGCCTCTGAGCCTTCCTGGGTGAACGGTTCACCACACGGAGGAGGAACGCCAGTGAGTACTGTGCTCCCTGGGTACTGCAAGTTAAGTCATTTTCTTTCTGCTGATACTGAGATACTGGAGCTCTATGCCTCACAGCTCCCACACTGAGAGCTTTTCACAAAGTGAATACAGAATACAATAAATGGCCATGCTCTAAGTAGCTTCTTCTATGATTCAGTTATCCTACTTGGCAATCCAAATAATTGAGATCTGTACAGGGTATGAAATATATCACTTCTTATCCCAAATGCTCAATAAAGAACAATGGTGGCTTAAGGTCTGCCCAGTGCCCATGTGATCAGAGGCAGAGCCACACATGTTCTGGCCATTTCATTCTGCAGGCTCCCAAAGGTGCCACCCCCTCCAGCTCAGTCACTTCCTAGAATCCAAGGGCTGCAGGGCAGTGTGCAAATGGTAAGACTACACTTTAGTGGAAAAGTAAGAGCAACCTTAAATTCATTTGCTTTCATAAGCAGCATCTTTTCCAAATAAGCAGCTCTCTGGAGGGCATGCAGCTGCCCAGAAAAGAGCAAAGGGGCAGTGGACTCTGCAGGTTGTGGGAGCCGATCCAGCAGGGTGGAATTTTGGAGCAAGGCTTCTTTGGTCTTTTGCACATCCTGCTGCAGCTCCTGAAAAGGAAAGAGCAGTCACAAATGCTTCCTTCATTCATAAGAGAATTCCGTGTCCTGCCACTCCATCAACATCTAGGAGAATTTCTGCCCTGAACTTATGGATATGGTTTTTATTACATTTATTTTAAACAAGTGAAAAAAACTTTCTTCAAATGATACATCACGGGTGCAGTTCTGAAATTTGTCAGTTCTGAGCTAAAACTGACTACTGCTCAATAGAGCTGAGGCTCCTAGTTTGGAGAGGTGGGAGACCACCTAGGAGGGCTCATGTGCTTACATTTCTAATTACTGTATCTAACCCTTCAGGGAACTCCTTTTCCCAGCGCTCTGAGAGTCTGAAGCACGAAGATTGCAAGTTAGAGCCCAGCCCGGGCAACTTAGTGACTTATCGAGACCCTGCCTTAAAATAAATAAAAAATAAAAAAGAGTGAGGCTGTAGCTCAGTGTGAAGGCCCTGAGTTTAATCTCCGTTACTGAAAACAACATCTGCTTTTTATACCATTTCAAAAACTGTGCAACTCTGTCTCCTGCCTTAGACTTTCCCATGTAAATGGATTCATTTGCAGAGACTAAAATTTCAATCAGGCTGACTGAGGTTATCCTGATAATACTGTGTGTGTGAAATTTCTAGATTTTTGTTTTGTTTTTAAACAGGTTAGGGATGGTGATTATAATACAGATCAGTTGGATTCTTGTCTCTTATATTAAATTGGTTAGCCCTTTTTTATTTGACCTATAGTATCATAAAAGACAAAATATATCTGGTCAACAAGTTTCATACTAAAAAGCATTCAATTTCTGGCATTTCTTAATAGTAGGAAAAACAATTGCAGAGGAAACTGTACTGCTTTTAAATACAATCTAAAAAATCACTAAGTCCACGGAAAAGTCATACAAATATAGCATCAAGTCCATGATTATTTCTAAGGCAAGAGATTCAACTATCATTCTTAGATGAGTCCACTTAGACAAGACAATTTTGCTTTTATTTCAGAGGCTGTATGAGGCCTTTTCTTTACAGATAACTGCTAGAGTGAAAGTGTGGACTTGGAACAAGGTGGTGTCGGGTCCCCCTGACCCAGCTGCTGCCTGGACTTGATGTCTGAGGTGCCGCCTGCTCCTCCCAGCCCCACCATCCCACCTGGCCCACGTCCTACACAGCTTGTGCAGGACACCTGTCCTGACTGACTTCTCCCTGGGGTCTGTTTCATCCCAAGGTATGGTTGTTGCCCCCTGGTTCTGTCTGACATGGGTCCAGATTTCCCAAGGGGCTTTGTACCCACCTGTATGTCCTGTAGGGCCAGCGGCAAGATCTCTGCCAGGTTGTTTCTGGACGTGTTGATTTTTGCAAGCTGTTGAAACTTGGCTTCCTGCTGCTCCAGCCTGGCTGCGACTTCTGTGTGGGCGCTGTGATAGGCCTTCCAGAGCTGGAGCAGGCTCTGGGCCTTCTGCAGCTGGTCTGCAAGGTCTCGGTTCACCTGGGACCACCTGGCAGCACAACACAAGCAACAGAACCCTCATTCCACACTTTCCTTTATAGCAACAGTGCACAACTCTATCAGGAAGTTAATAGTGGGTGGATTATTAAGAAGACACTGTCAAATGCTTTTAAAATTAATAGCATCACCACTATATAAAAACATCCACATTAGGCTATTTACTTGATTTATAATGTATAGCAAAAATGACAAAACTTGTGATTGGCTGGAAATATTAGGAATGTCTCTTAGGTGCAGTGTGGAGAAAGTGCTGAATTGTATGCCTAATGGACCTATCTTTAGATAGGTCTTATTTAAGTTGTTTTCATGTCAAATAAAATTTGTTTTATAATTATAAAAACAAAATGTAAAAGTACAAATAAAGGGAACAGCTTTACTCCATATATACACTGTCGAAGCTTGTTTCTTCCCCATTTAATTTTAAAATATATCCCATTCATTAATAAAAAATGAGAAAATCTTATTTTAAGTGGCTGAATATATGGTCTGTGAACAGTCTGTCATATGTGCAACAGTGACCTGAATTCCCTCAGCAGCCACTGGCTACCTCATGTCTTGATGGTGGCTCTGATCTGTACATGGAGTCAGGCAGATTTTTGTTCCTTCTCCCCCTTCCCCTCCCACTCCTCCAGTAGTCACTGGATTGGGACCTGAGGACACCACTGGGGGTGCATGATTTGCTGTTCCTCCTTCAGTCCTGGCTCAGTGCTGGAAGAAGGTTGGATGCAAACACTCCCATATGCCACTCCTTGAGCAAATCAGCCTCAGGCCAACTTTCCTGCCCCACTCACTCAAGAGCCTGCAATGAGTGTGGCCCAACCCCACAGATGACCTTGCCAAGAGTCGATTTAATACCTGCTTTTTAAGCACCTTACAGTATTTCCAACGTATGATGGCCCCAGTGGACCGCACATCTGGCCCCCCGTCTAGCGAGCTTCTGCATCTGATCCTGATGTCCTGAGACAGCCCTCGTGCTGAGAGTGACTTCTGTAGGTGCCACACTGTAACTAAGGTGTTTCTACATCGTCATCCCCAACACCACATGAGCTGGGGACTAGCCCTTGTGACTGTGAATGACATGTGAGCTTGGAGAGCAGAATAATAAGGAAGCAGTCATCTTAGAGGGTTAAGAAGACCTCACAATACAGCACCTGCCTGGCAAATGCAAGGTCCTGAGTTCGATCCCTGGTACCAAAAAAAAAAAAAAAGACCTCACAAGGCCTAACATCAAGTTATCTGGTCTGTGATCCAACTGGATCTTAAAGCACACCTTGCATGAGTGTCCTGGCATTTCTCTTCGATTATTTCAGCAACTGAGGGGCAGGACTCTTTGAGTCTGCTGATGACCTCCTGCAGTTTCTCCCAACTCCCCTCACTGCTCTCAGCTTCATCTTGAAGACACTAAGAGAAGAGATCAAGAAGGATAGTTTCAGGTGGCCTGGTGACCTCCAACTCAGGCAGCAGATTCTCAGCAATCACTGCTACACAGATAACACACACACAGACTGTACAGGACGGTGAGAAACCATCAGGAATGGGGAGAAAGCAATTGAGAAGGCATTCCTTCCTTCCTTGAAGTTGAAATGTAAATTGAAAACAGAACCAAGCTAGTGGCATGCATCTGTTATCCTAGCACTCTGAGAGGCTGAGATAGGATGATGCAAGTTCAAGACCAGCCTGGGTTACTTAGGGACTTAGGGAGACCCTGTCTCAAAATAAAAAGGGCTGAGGATGGTCCTAGGTTCAATGCCCAGTACTGCAAAACAAACAGCCCCAGTCCAAGTAAAAACAAAAATACCTACATCAAATACACATAATGAGCCATGACACCCTGTGCTGAGCTGTTAACTCACCTGCAGGTTCTGCACCTGGCGCTCCAAGGCCTCCAGCGACAGAGCCCCTGGCTTGCTGTGTTCCATGCCGTACCTGAAGCGGATCACCATCATATTCACCTCCTCGTAGAGCTGGTCGTAGGTCTTCCAGTCCACCAGCACCAACTGCATGGAGGCTCTGAGCTGGCCGACCTGTGTGAAAAGTGGAGACAGACTGATCAGAAGACGTGGCTTGGCAGCTGTCTCCTCCCAGAGCCAACCATGTACCCGATCCCGGCATCTCGATGGCAGGCACCGGAGGTTTTCAGCAACTTACTGCAGCTAGGAACGGAAGTCAGGAATCCAATTCCCGGAGAAGGCCATGTTCCAGAATGGGTGAAAGGAAAAGAACCCTGGGGTCAGAAGGGTCAGCACTAGAAGAGCTGGGCCTGGGGAGCGAAGCCCAGGGAAAGAACATAGGGCGAGTGGTAGAACAGGAGTGCAGTATAGCTATACTCTGTTGGCTTTCAGGCCTGGAAAATTATTTAATCCAAGAGGGGGTTCCCCCAGTGTTGGGATTGAACCAGGGCATTCACACTGACACCCTGAGCTACATCCTTGGTTCTTTCTTTTCTTTTTTTGAGACAGGGTCTCATTATGCAGCCCAGGCTAGCCTTGAATTCATTATGTAGCCTGGGCTGGCCTTGAACTCAGGGCAATCCTCCTGCCTCAGTTTCTCAAGTGTTGGGATTACAGGTATGCACCACCTTGTCTGGCTTCCCCAGCTCTTTCTACTTTTTATTTTGAGACCAGGTTTCATGAAGTTGCTAAGTTGCCCAGGTTGTGCTAGAATTTGTGATCCCTCTACCTCATTTCCCAGAGTACTGGGATTATAGGCCCCTGCACCACTGGGCCCAGCTTAGAGTTGGTGTCTTTATCCACAAAGCAAAGATTAATAAATGGAAAAAAATAGTGTCATTAAAATGCTCTGAAAACTGCAAGGCATCATAAATGTAACATGGGACCTGTGTCGCCTGGCACGCTTACAAAGTAAGCAGACTGCAGAGAAGCATGACTACCAAAATGATGGGCAAGAGCAAAGTACTACAAAAGGCATATTTTCCATCAGTATATTCTGATAATGATAAAAAGAAGTAAACATTTAGTTATCTATTGAGAATGAACTCTGATCTGATCAATAATATGTGAAGTACATTTAACAACTCAAGAACAAAAGACAACCAAATTAGCCCAGTGTGGTGGTGCATGCCTGTAATCTCAGCACTCTGGAGGCTGAGACAGGAAGATCACTTCAAGTTGGAGGCCAGCCTGGGATACAGTGAGTTCAAGGTCAGCCTGGACTACATAAAGAGCCCCTGCCTGAAAGAAAAAAAAAAGACAATTAAATTAAAGAATGGGCAAAGAATTGGGATAGACACTTCTCCAAAGAAAATGTACAAATAACCAAGAAGACATGGAAAGATGCCTGATATCCATAATCATTGGGGAAATGTAAATCAAAGCTACTTCATACCACTTTGATTTTGCTATAATAAAGAATTCAGATAATTAAGGATATGGAAAAGGTTGATGGTTCTTCAAAAAGTTAGTTACCAAATGACTAACAATTATATTGATGGATATCTACCTAAGAGTACTGAAAGCCCAAGCATATGTTCATAGAAAAACCTGAATACAAATGTTTATAGCAGCACAGTTCACGATAGCCTACAAATGGAAATAACCTGAATGTCATCAGCTGATGAATGGATAAACTAAATGTGGTATATCCATACAATGGAATACGACTGAGTCGTACAAAGAACTGAATTGCGCACATATGACAACACTGATCTTGAAAACATCATGCTAAAGGACGGAGGCAGAGCTCAGTGGTCACTGACTCTTGGCAGTTTAGGGATGGACAATCTATGCTCATACTCTCTACATTTTAAAAACAACTCTTTACTGAGATATAATTCATACACTAGGCAATGCACCTACTTGAAGTGTGCAATCTCCATAACCAACTTTAGAATTTTTTTTTCCACTCCAAAAGAAATCCTACATGCATTAGCAGCACTCTTCTTCTGCCACCACTAATCTACTTTCTGTCTTTATAGATTTGTCTATGCTGGGTTATTTCACATAAATGGAAACACACCTTTTTGTGAACAGTTTCTTTCACTTAGCATAATGTCTTTAAAGACACTGGTGTTCTGTAATATATTGGTACTTCTTTCCTAGTATGGACGTATAACATTTCATGGGTATACACTGTAGTTTACTGATACATTCATAGGTTGATGGACAATGGCCTGTTTCTACTTTTTGGCTATTACGAATTATGTTGCTATAATCATTAATGTATAAGTTTCTGGAGTGAATGTTTTAATTTCTTTTGGGTTATCTATGTAGGAGTGGAATTATTGAGTCAAATGGTAACTATTTAGTTGTAGTCAGGGTTTGCAAGGGAATCGATTTAATGTAGGATACATAATTTGCAGGATTATTTTCTAATATTCATTTAAAAAGTCAAATGCAGAGGAGTGCAAGAGATCTGTCCACATGCTAGAGAGCCAAAAAAATCCAGATGAGGGCCTGGATCCCATGGCAATGTCCCACACAAATCCAGCTAAAGGCCGAAAGCCCAAGACAGTGTCCTCCATGAATCCAGCCAGAGGCCTAGAGCCCACGGCCATGTCTCATGCAAGTCCATATAAAGGATCTGCATGGGGAAGGCCCAAGGGCCAGTGGTGGAAGCTACAAAGCCTGTGCTGGTGGGGTGAAGGGTCTGTGCCATCAGGCTGAGGGATCTGCACTGGAGCCAGGAGGTAATGCTCAAGGCGAAGACCAGAATTCCCCTGAAGAGAACAGCAGCCATCCCTGGTGACAGCAAGGACCAGAGCTCCTCCTCAGACCAGAACAGCCAAGTTCTTATCAGGTAAACCAACTGGGGCAAGATTCTCCAGAAAAATCATCAGCATACAATCTTCCAGTTGTTCTTTTAAGCCATTTGCAACAATTCTCAAGTGGGTCTTCCACCCCCACGGATTCATTTCTGCGGGGCATTCCAAGCTGACCGTTAGTTAATCTACCACATCTTTATTTAACCATTTGAGGAAATAGAACATTATTTTCTAGCTGCGTTTTTTTCTTTTTCCAGTATGGGAGGGACTGAACCTTTGCACTAGGTTACATGCCTAACCCATTTTTTATTTTGAGACAGGGTCTTTCTAAGTCACAAAGTTGCTCAGGCTGGGCTTGAACTTGCAATCCTGCTTCAGCTTCCCAGAGCGGCATGTGCCACCACATCCAGTACAGTGGTTTATTTCTGGACTCTCAATTCTATCTGACGTATCTATATGTCTAACCTTATGACATTACTATCTGCATGATTTTTTTTTTTTTTTTTTGGTACCGGGGATCGAACTTGGGACCTTGTGCTTGTGAGGCAGGCGGCAGGACCACTGAGCTAAACCCCCGGCAATCTTCATGGTTTTTCACATGCATAATCTCAATTTCCCCTCTATATTTTCATTATACTGTAACTCTTGCAATTATCTGTTCATGTGCACTCTTCCCATTGCCTGGGAACTCACTGATTATCCTGCTTATCTTACTCCTATTTAGTGAGCATAGCGATTCACACATGTCTAACAAATGCCCAAATAGCTGGAGTCCGGGAAGAAGTGAGGATGGACATTGCCTGTGGATTTCATCCATACAGTTTATTCTCAATGCCCCTTGGAACAAATGGCTGAAAGCAGGCTTTGGTAGATGACAAGCAGGCCACAGTGAGGAGGCCGTGCAGTTGGTTAGTAGAATTTTCACTCTTTGTTGTGCGGAAATGCAGGTTGCAATGTCTGGAGATGCTGTTCCCCCTCCCTCTGGGCACCGTCCTGGCAACTTTGATGTGCCTTTCGTAAGATCCAGGTGGCTTGCCTGCCCTTTTCCTCTGCACATTCTCCTCACCGCTGAGCTGTGTCCCCGCCTCTGGGGCAGATCCTGGGCTGACCACACTCCTGGCTCACGAGGACTATGTGACACAGGACCACAGAGCACTCACCCTTGCACGGGGAATTGGAGCTGCTCCTCTGGAGCTGCTCTGCATATCTGGCCAGGAAACACCACTAGACACTGCTGGGCTGGGCACACGGGGGCATTTACGTCTGTGTGAGTACAGCAGACACAACAAAGATAACTGAGTGGGTTTCCTGCCTGTCAGTGATGGCGGCGGGAGTGGTGGCTTTGCCTTGAATTCTTCAGCAAATAAAATGGGATTTGAAATGTTTCTCTCCACTTCAATACTTTCCTCAGCAACTTTTCAGTTTTTGGTACGGAGCAAGTCTCCACAATTAAAGAACAATAACAACAACACATAAAAGAAGATTTTGTGAAGAGAAACAGAATACTTCAAAGGAGTCCTATTACCTGATCCATCACACTGCTCCTCTTTTGGAACAACCCATCGACTCCAGATGCTGGATCTTCCAACAATGGCATGGCCCCACTCTCCAAAGCTGGGTAGCTTTGTTTCAGCTCCTCCAGGGCTTTGGATTTAATTTCGAGTTGATTTTCTATGTCCTGGAATGGCAGGTGGAAAAGGTTTTCAATGCACAGTATTACAAAACAATAAGGTGCAGGAGACTGGCGTTTACTCTTTTCAAGTGAAAAAGAAACACTGCTGGAGTATATAATTACAGTGTTAGAGCAAAGAAAGACACTTTAATCATAATACAATCTTCATTTGATTTTATATCCCATGGCTTTTTATTTTAGGAGACTCTAAGCAACATGTCGTTTTCCTCATGATAGAGTAGAGTCCAGCACAGCAGGTCCTGACACACATTGCCCTGGGCTGGCTGTTTACACAGGCCTAAGTCATCACACCCCCAAGTCCCTGTCATCTGGCAAAGGGTGACAATACCCCATGCTGTGTGCAGCTTAGAGCCCCGAAGAAACCACAAGCAGGAGGTGCTTGGAAACCTTCCATAAAGCATCACAGAATGACAGGTCATAGAAACTGGTGGTTCAGACAGTAACAGCTTTAGCATCCTTTTGTACCTCTTTGTACTAATTCACTCATAAAAGGCAACCTTAACCTACTCCAGTCTTTCCCTACAAATTTTCCAGAAACCCACAGGAGTCCTTCACTAGAAAGGAGACCACGGGACAGCAATCTTAAGACAGAGATGAAGTGCAGGAGGCCAGCAGCAGACCTGCCAGGCCTCACAGGGGAAGGCTGACAGGCACAGCTCAAGGCTGGGCTGGGATCCAGTTTGGAAAATGCCTACACTTTTCCTTCTTTTTTTTTTTTTTTTATGCTTTTTTT